TTTTTTTCTTAATTAATTGCGTGACTTTTCTTCTTCATTTTCACATTTTGCGGTTTCACTTTAATTTGAGGTGAACAATGATTTCGGATATTCATAAATTATGAATTCATGCCTGCACATTCACTTTGGAACCATGCCTACACATTCCCGTCCGAAATCACGGACATTCATAAATTATGAATCCATGCCTGCACATTCACTTTGGAACCATGCCTACACATTCACTTTGGAACCATGAGATTATGAATTTTCTGTTATAAGATTATGAATTTTCAATTATGAGATTATAAATTTTCTGTTATGAGATTATGAATTTTCTGTTATGAGATTATGAATTTTCTATTATGCGATTATGAATTTTCTGTTATGCGATTATGAATTTTCTGTTATGAGATTATGAATTTTCATTACATTCATAATCTCATAACAGAAAATTCATAATTTGATCAACGCCTGCCGTTAACTCCACATCCGCGATTTTTTTTTTTTTTTGCCTAAAAACGACGTCGTTTTGCCCTTGTGTTCACCATTCACGGTGAACACGTTTCCAGGGCATAATTTGCCTCATTTTCGAAGATGAGTAAATGTACAACTGTTATACAGTGGATAATGATCCACAAAGTGCTGTGTGCATGTCTGTGTCGAACATGGCCCAATACGATATCATTTTTTTCGTTAGTGTGAATCAATGGTATATCACTTTATAAATAAGTATATTGTTAAATGGTATTGTAATACAATTAAAATGATACTTTAATGTTTTATATAATAAAACTAGTGTATTTGAAAAATGAAACTGAAAAACAGAGTTCATGCAATAATGTATATTGTCAAATGAACTTGAAGTAATTAAAATGCTACTTCAACGTTATTATAATGAAACTAGTGTGTATGAAAAATGAAACTAAGAAACATAACTGTTTTTACAATAATATATATTGGCCCTGTTTGGTAAAAAATTGGCCTATAGGCCAATTTTGGCTTATTTGACCACTATTAATTGTATGATTTAGTTAAAATATCAATATAAATGTTTGGTTAATTAGCTTTTTGCAACTCTAAAAGGCTAAAATTCAAAATGCTACTCTAAGCAACTTTTTCAATTAGCTTTTTGAGAAAAAAAATTATACCAAACAGCTATAAGCTAACAGCTAATTTACCAAACACTTTTATACAATCAGTTAATGTTATCAACTATTTATACCCTCTAATTAACACAATCAGCTAACAGTCAACAGCTATCAGCTAACAGCCGTTTTATCAAACAAGGCCATTGTCAAATGAACCTTAAGTGTAATTAAAATGATACTTCAACGTTATTGATGGATATACTAGGAACGGACTCGGGGCAAACCAAGCCAAAGAAGAGGAGATGCGACCCAAGAGGTCAAGGGAGACCTCGACTGGGGTCGACCTCAGTTGGCGTCGGCCTCGGCTGGGGCAACTCCGAGGGCTTGTGACGAAGGGCGGCCTCGGGCGTGGGCGCGCAGACCCGGTCAAAGGAGATCCAACCGCCCACCCTATTCTCATGGGGCGGTTGGAAGGTAGCTTGGTATAAAAGCATGCGTCATTGTCTTGTTTAGGACATCTAATTCTCTTGTCTAATTATTACATTCTCCTACAAACTATTATCACATACAAGAATTGTCTCCGCAAAATATATGCCTTGTCTTTTATTACCGTATTGTCCATTTACTTTATTATCGGGTTTAGTAATTCGGTCTACTATACTCCAGGTTAATTAAATCCATCTGTTACTATAATAAAACTAGTGAGTGTGAAAAATGAAACTAAAGGACATAGCTCATGCAATAATGTATGTTGTCAAATTAACCTAAAGTGTAATTAAAATGATACTTTAGCGTTACTATAATGAAACTAGTTTGTGTCAAAAAAAAAAATGAAACTAAAAAACAAAGCTCACACAATAACATATATTGTCAAATGAAATTGAAGTGTAATTAAAATGATAAATCGTCATTTTGTTTCATGGTCTACGCTGCTACATGGATCATAGTCCATAGTAAAAGTTTTCATAAATGTGTCCCTCAATAATGTACTAGAATAGTATCTAACCCATCAGTATTATTATTAGTCGAGGTTGTTTCTTAGTTGGTTGTAGTATTATGAGTTAAATAACTTTATAGAACGTACAAGTATTTTAAGGTGTTGATCCACAGGGAATGAGATGTTAAACACTAACTCGAACTGATTTTTATGATATTAGTTCAACCGCTAAGGAGTACAAGTACATAAACAAATATATCTATACTAAATGTAACAAATGAAGAGACTAGAGACATAAAATATAATATACAACAGGGTAAAGAGTATGGATTGATCTAATACTTATTTTGAACCAAACTAAGGTAGAAATATAGCTTATTAGTTTCTTACGAATTGAGTAACTGTGCTAAAGTCTTTTGTGTCACTCCTATGATATATCCGAATGTACTAAATGCAAGATTGCTACTTCCTTTATTTACAAGCAATGTTAGCCATTTAAGAACCTAAACAATTCAACTCTATCCAAATGCAAGTTATTATTATAACTTGTGAGAAATTGCACTAAGTACATGAGCATAGTTGGATCTTTGCAGTATTTATATATCATTGCACCACCACACATCTTTTGATGTTAATTATGTTCCTCAATTCTTAGCCTCTCCTCGTACTACACATTGCATTTTTGTTAAGTGCATATTATATTATATTCATGATCCCTAATAATCTAAGCTAAAACTCATGATGAATTGAAGGATGAAATTGTACGTGGGTCTTGAAAGCAAGTAAACAACCTAGCTATGTGTTCTAATTGGTTTTATAAAGATAAATGAACTATCCTTTAAATATTTGTTTTATGAACGAAATGAACATAAAATAAAGCAAGGAAAAATAAAATCCGAAAAATAAAACCCGGAACACAAGGAAATGATCACGCAGTTCGGAGCACTTCTCCTACGTCTGCGGGGCAACTCACGTCTGCCCAATCCACTAGATGTTCACCAAGGTTTATAAGGGGTTAGTACACACGGCTAACAACCACTACTACCAACTACAACCTTCCTAACATCCTTCACGAGATTGGTACGTGCATGCCTTCATTGACCTCAAATGTTGATGCTGCTGAACTTGATGTTGTTTGAATGTTCCAGCGAGATTGTACTTCAAAATATAACAAATATATATGCGGTAGTGATATGTGAGAATTTTCCTTTAATAATGATATACGAATCTCACCACTTGAGTGGGGGAAAGAACTTTCCTTTTATACTCAAATTTCATTAACGAACTTTCCCAATATGGAGCTAATCATACGCCATTAATTAATCTCAACCATACTTGAACAAATCTCAACCACAACTAATTACTCCATGCTTAATAATAGATAATAGATCAGATTCATAATTCCCATAATTTTAATACCATATTTTGCATATCTCCAATTAAACCATGACCACATGTTTAATTCTTCAAAGCTTATTAACATCACTGTCCATAACTAGTATTCTTCTTCATAATTTCGAAAGCCTCCAAATGAACTCATGCTGTAGAAATATAAATTCATACCTTTTGGTGGGAGACGGTCCATGGTTCATAGGCTAATCTCACAAATAAATTCTGATTATTTTGTCAAATAAATTAGCCAACATAAAGGGATTTAACGTGTATCATTTGTACACTTACAAAAGAGACGTTGTTTGTGAAGTTAATGATAGCGACAACAGTCGGGCCCCAAACTCTCCGGCGATTTCCGGCACAAGGGGCAAGTGGCATTGAGCCCAAGCCACTCATCGATGCAATTAGCGTGGAAATAATGGTTGCAATCCGGTATACTCCCAAGGATCTCTTCCGCTTGGTACTCCGACAGGCATATTGGACAAGTAGTATTTCCATTTGGGTTCGGAAGTTGCAAGCTCTCACCCAGAACCATCGTTGGGTAGGATTGGATTGTTTGTCGACCCAGTCCGCCTCCGCGGGCGGTGGGCATTGGCGGTAGTTTCATGATGGGAAGCTCGCCGGTTACCTGGCTGTTATGGAAGTTCAGGGTGAAGTTCTTGATTTTGCGATAACCGCAAAATAGTCGTCCGATTAGACAGAGAAGGCTAGGTATTGCTGCACCCACAATAATCCCATACTTTGCACTCCTTGGAATCCCTATAGAATACAAATTTTTAAGCAAAAAAAAATATTGATATAGATGTACTAGACTACTAGTGATGAGTGATGATGCCTCTGTTACTATTCATGGTCGATTTTCAGTTTTCAGTTTCCAAACCAACCAAAAACGAGATCAAATCCCTGCTGCTGCGATTGATTGATTCTAAGTCATCGATTATACTAAAAAATTAGAAAAGAGTTAATACCCAAAATGGTCCCTCGACTATGTCATAATTACCAATTTGGTCTTCAACTACCATTCTTACCCAATTAAGTCCTCAACTATGTAACTTTTACTCAATTAAGTCCTCAATTATACAATTCTTACCCAATTTAGTCATCAACTATACAATTCTTACCTAATTTAGTCCTCTGTATTAATTTGACTGTTTGTTGACTGTCAAAAGTCGGGATAAAATTATAATTTTACAAAATTTCTCCTTCATCTCCATTTAGCAGAGCCAAACCATGCAGCAATACACTTCGATCAGATTTCGATCGTCAAAAAATCGTTGGAAATCAAATTCATGGGCTATCCGATGCATAACCACTACTTCGATACTGACAGGTTTAGAACCCAACCGGAGCTTATTGCTACATGGTTTGGCGCTGCTAAATGAGGAGGAAGGAGAAAACTTGTAAAATTACAACTTTATTTCCACTTTTGACAGTCAACAAACAGTCAAATTGACAAAGGACTAAATTGGGTAAAAATTATATAGTTGAGGACTTAATTGGGTAAGAATAATAGTTGAGGACCAAATTGGTAATTACGACATAGTCGAGGGACTATTTTGGGTATTAACTCATTAGAAAATGTGAGGATCGGAATTGAATTACTACCTTTGGAAGAATTGGGATGAGGAGGAGGATCGGAGCAACCAATTCAATTTCCAAACCCTCATCGGAGCTGAAGCCGCCCAGAGCTTCTCCCACCGCAACTCCAGCTGAGTAATAACGGCCATCTCCCAGATTATTACAGCGCTGGGTATGCTAACATTCTCTGCAACTATTAACTCCGCCGGCGCCTTCAGCCAAAAAGAACTCGGCACGGCAAACACCATCAGCTTGGGCATAGACGCAAACGGACGACTCAGGATTGTGTAACGCGTACCGTTGGGAGCCCGGAACGGGCTGCCGGCCAGAGAAAGGTTTAAGATTCTTTGGGAAAGGCATTTGTGAGGGTCAGAGATTCGTATGATTTGGGAGGCGTAGTCTATATCGTTCACCACGAAACTGCCTGGAGTTGACGGGAGGGTGAGAATCGTTTCCCCTTGGTGATTGCAGGAGAGATTAAACCCCGGGTTGGGGTAGCCGCACCGCTCCGGTTGCCGGCCGATGACCCGGAAAGGAAACTTGATTTCCGGTCCCGAGACGTGGTTGCATGAGTAAGGGGAGCAGTAGTCATCTGAAGAAGAAGACGTTAATGCGACTAAAGAGACAATGAAAACGGAGCAGAGTAGAGGTGCAGGGATCTTCATCTTCGGATTGAGGAGAATTCAGAGAGAGGAGCAAGAAGCTGGAAAAAGAGGAGAATTCAGAGAGAGGAGCAAGAAGCTGGAAAAAGAGGAGATAGATACTTCTTCTAATACTGAATACTTCATCTTCGGATTGAGGAGAACTCGCCGTCAATGACGACTGAGGAGAATTCAGAGGAGAATTCAAAACATTACTAAAAATGTTGGTAAAAGTCAAAATATTATTAAAAATGTTGGTAAAAGTTAAAACATTACTAGAAAAGTTGGTAAAAATCAAAACATTACTAAAAATGTTGGTAAAAGTCAAAACATTACTAAAAATGTTGGTAAAAATCAAAACATTACTAAAAATGTTGTAAAGACTCAACTTTCAACCGAGCATAAGTCTTAAAGAGCATAAAGTGTGAAAGGAGCACGGTCAAAGTTTCGCTAGGCATTTGGAATTTTTCAGTGTTTAATTATATAAACGGAAAATATAATGAAGTTAATGAAAAATATTTATCATGGTCAAAAGAAAATTGATCTATTTTGACTCAAAAAGAAAAAACATCTTTCAAAATTTGTACTTGAAATACATTTTCTACATTCCTACCTCATGCTCAGCTCGGTTCTCTCTCTTCTCATTTGAAATTTGAATGGCCTCACAAATTGAAAAACTTGTTAAAACAATTTAAAATGATTTTTATCTGACTTGATTTTCAAGTTGCTTCTAATAAATAGATATTTTTCACTAAAATGTTGATCTTTAAGTTTCTTCTGACAGATAAATATTCTTTCTACCGTTCTGATCTTGTTTCTTCAGGTTTTTTAACTTTGTAGCTCTTCCAGCTTTGCCATGTAATTTCCTCGAAACTTTCATACAATTAATGCAGATGATATTTTTCAAGTCACAGATTATACTCGTAGACATATTCTGCTCCATTGACTAAACTTGCTTTTAAAATAATTGTGCTCCTATAAAAGGGTCATTTGTCGTTGGGAAGAATAAAGGGTTAACTTGGTCAAAGTGCAAAGTAGAGAAACTCCTTGACTAAACATTTTGACTGCTGATGACCGCCTGACCCTTGGTTATATGAAACATTGGTCAAAGGGTTAACTTTTCCTCATAAATATTAAGAAAATTAAAATTATATTTTTCCTCCCTAAATTATATGATAATTGTATAATTCGTCCCTAGTCGTTGATCATGCTTATTTTTAGTCCCTAAGCTCTGCACTTTTCATCTTTTTGCACATTAAGGGTACGTTTGGTTGATGGGTTTAATTTTGTCCATAGGAATGTGTACGAAAGTGATTGTTATTGTTTGGTTGATAGGTTTTTAGAACACAACTATGTGTTTCGAATACTCCATCAATTGAAAAACTCATACCCAAATAAAAAAAGGGTTTCATTCCCTTATTCATTCTTAAGCACTACTATTAGTAACCATTCTTATTCTACCCTACTACCAAACATGTTAAATACTTTCACCAAAATCCATTACCATTACCAAGTATTTGATACCCATTCCGATTCCAATTCCCATGTGCGAACCAAACACACCCTAAATATCAACCTTATGATCTTTCACACGTTATGCTCTTTAAGACTTGAATTGTGCTCTTTTGAAAGTTGACTAGCAAACAATAGGGTATATTTGGGTCTTTACAACATTTTTAGTAATGTTTTGACTTTTTCCAACATTTTTTGTTTCCAACAATTTTAATAATGCAATTAAGTTAAAAGCTAGGGACTTTTGGTGAAAATGGATCGGAGTAGAAAATTAAATGAAGACCCTTACCCTTACCCCTACACCTCTAACACCTAACACGAAAACTAAGATTGGAACACAATTACATGAACTGGGTGCTAGACAAAGATTTGGTGAAAATGTTAGCAATCAGGCTTAAGCAAAAACTTAATGTCAACCTCCAAGGATTTGGTAAGACCATGAATTGAAAAAAAAAAAAAAGGATTTTGAGGGATAGATTGTACAAATATAATAATATTATCAAGATATAATATTACAATAAGGTGAATGCTAATATCACATAACAAATGTTGTATACTTGTATCCATAAAAGTTAATTAAAATTGAAGTATCCATAAGGATCATCCTTTGCATTTGAGACCTACAAGAAAAAAAAAATTGAAATATATAGAGTCAAAGAAAATACCAAAACCAGAGACTTTAGCGTTTAGGTTCTTAAATGGCTAACATTGCTTGTAAATTAAGGAATGAAGTAGCAATCTTGCATTTAGTACATTCGGATATATCATAGGAGTGACACCAAAGACTTTAGCACAGTTACTCAATTCGTAAGAAATTAAGCTATATTTCTATCTTAGTTTGGCTTAAAATAAGTATTAGATCAATCCATGCACTTTACATTTAGTATAGATATATTTGTTTATGTACTTATACTCCTTAGCGGTCGAACTAGTAATCTAGTATCATAAAAATCAATTCGAGTTAGTGTTTAACATATCATTCCCTGTGGATCAACACCTTAAAATACTTGCACATTCTATAAAGTTATTTAACGAGTTAATTACTGAAATGGTCCCTTGACTATAGTGAAATTATCAATTTGGTCCTTGACTATTTTTTTGACCAATTAAGTCCCTCAACTTTAAAAATCTTAACTAATTTGGTCCTCTGTTTGTTTGATCGTTAGTCAACCATTAACTTGTGACCAAATTGGTAATTTTGCTATAGTCAAGGGACCATTTTGGTAAAATGAAGTATCATTTTAATTATACTACAGTTTCATTTGACAATATACGTTGTTGAATGAGCTCTGTTTTATAGTTTCATTTTTCACACACATTAATTTAATTTTAGCAACACTAAAATATCATTTTTATTCTACTAAAATTCATTTGATAACCATGGTCTACATAACACTATGGACTATGGTCCAGTGTATAACAACCCTACATAGGTTATATATTTATTTATTTTTTAAATCTGACTTAGGTACAAAATTTGTGTTTATAGGCACAATACAACACATAAATTCATAACATAAGACACAATCAATAATTTATTTTATGTACAAAATTTATACTTTTAAAGTACAAAATTTCGTAACACAAGATACAAAAAATTCCCAATATAAAGTAAATATACATACACTATGGTCCATAGTATAAGGATTGCATTTTCGAAGCAATGCAATAGCCTTATAGCCAACAGCCTAGCCCAATATGTACTTTGACCCAAATTTGTGATGGCAAATTATATGGCAATTTATATCCTACATCACGCGCGTTGCATTGTGCGCTCAGATGCAAAACGACGTCGTTTCAATTTTTATTTTCATTTTTGGAAATTTCCCGCCCCAGTGTTTGGCAGTTAATTTTTCTTTAAAAAAAAACTCATGTTCAAAAATGTACATAATGTTATACATGAATGTACATAATTGTATACATGAATGTACATAATTGTATAACAAAATATACATACTGTTTTTTAAAAGATAATACACATAATCTAACATAATACATAATAAACATAAACTTTTAACATAATACACATCAACTCTTAACATAATACACAAAAATTTCCTGATTCGGATGTATATAATTGTATAAAAAGAATGTACATAATTGTATGAACAAATATACATAATCACAGCAACTTCCTACCGCACCTTCCAAAACGACGTTGTTTTGGGAGGCGCACAGTGCTACGCGCGTCGTGGTGTAGAGTATAACGATTGAAATTATATCGTGCACCAGAGCGCACAATGTATTGTGCGTTTTGGCCTAAAACGACGTTATTTTCATAAGTTGGTAGGAAGTTGACGTGACAGCGCGATGAACATTGTTCTGTCTGTCCAATCCCGTTACAATTTTTTAATTTTGGAAAATGCGATCTCCACCTAGCTTTTAATTTTTGAGAATGACATCCTTTGACTTAATTAGAATTAGCAATTTGATTTGTGCTGCCTTGTTTGACTTAATTGGAATTAGCAATTTGATTAGTGGTGCATGCCTTCTTGGAATTCAGTGCCACCCTTAGCTTCTTAATTTAGAATTGCTACTTTGTTAATTTGGAATGTTGAACCAGCGCCTTTTGCGCGCTTCAGTTGTATATTCAGCATTGGAAGAAGTATCTATCTCCTCTTTTTCCAGCTTCAATTCTTGCTCCTCTCTCTGAATTCTCCTCAATCCAAATTATCATACACCTATATCTAATTATCTATGATATCTTTTTTTTATTCTTTAATTATCATTTTATTAAAATCATTATATAATTACTTTAATTTTTTATTATTTTAATTAAATTTCTATGAATAGTAAATCATATATGTGTATATATATAGGCATGCACACAACGTCGTTTTGGACACACTGACATGTAGAACATGGGTGAAAAACATACAAAGAAGAAAGAAGACAAGGCTAGGGCGGAGAAGGGGGAGCGAGGCGGAGGAAACGACGGGGATTTGCCAGCTTTAAATTTGCCACTGGTCGCCGTTACCAACACCGTTGTAGATGAGTACGATCCAGCCCGACCGAATGACTACGAGGAGTACCGGAGGGAGAAGAAGAGAAAGCAAGTGGAGGCAGAGTTGAGGGAAAGGGAGAAGAGGGAGGTGGAGAAGGAGAGGGAGCCGGAGCGGGAGAGGGAGAGGGAGTTGAACCTCTCCGGCAAGGAGGTGTGGCGGCGAAGAGCTGCTATGAGCGGTGGAGGTGACGCTGCTCCGAGATCACCGTGGATGGGAGAAGGAGAGGGAGATTAGAAGGTGGAGAGGGAGAGTAGAAGACAACAAAAGAAAAAAACGAGTTAAGTGAAATGTTATGAATTGACATCTATATACTTTGAATTACTGCTTTAAATAAACAAATTCAACATTCAATCACCTATGCATGAACATAGCCTATATCCCAAATACTCTGTCGGGGCAGGATGTGGGGGCCCTTAGAGTTGGGGTTCAATTTTAAGAAGAATGAACATAGCCTATATAATCTTTTTTGAAATACTTATTTTAAAAAAATAATATAATGTTTCCAAA